CACCACAGGACCCTTGCCTTCGAACAATACGCCTGATCAGCTAGCCATTTACGACCTTATAATCAGCATTAGCAACGCCCATTTCTCCTTTTGTCCGTACACAGAAGAAAGGATGAAGATGATGCGACGAATCCCATCCACACTTGTGAGTCTTGGTTGTTGCCTTGTTTTCCGTTTTTGTATGTATATTCCACTGACGGTATTTATACTAGTAGTACACTATGCGGCGTTAGGTGAGTTTTTCTGACACTCGTTGAATTAGATCGATTGTAAACTGTGATAATTTAATAGCTTCACTTTCAACTTCCACTCAGAGGGACATCAGAGTAGCTGCGCTATTTTATCTATCGTGACTGAATAATAAAAGAGTTATTACCGCCAGCGAAGAACTAGAATTCAGCATTTGAAAACGAAGTTATCTGTTGCCGCAAATTATAATGTATGTTTTAAACTGTAGTTAACTTTAGGAAAATGCATGAACACTTAAACAAGATTGAGTAAAACAGTTTTGGTAAACTGTTCAATACGAAAGAAGAAGGCCGTGTCTATAAATTTTCTTGCATATGGTCTTTAGAAACGGGCCGATTTTTAACTTTCCACACAGTGACAATAACTTCATTCCGTTCAGTCTTCATTCCTAATTCCGCCGTTTTTTATTGTTAGAGACTGAAATATATTCTTTTAAAACGGATAAATACAAATAACATGCGTGTTTGTTGTCCTTACTAGTCGTGTTTACTAGATAAGGACATGTTTGGCACACAATTTCAGAAACGAGATGCATTATCTGTGCTCTACTCTTGTACTGATTCATCAGGAAGAATCTTAAGAGCGTTAAAAATAGACCCCAGTTGTATTTTCAGGACTGAAAAGTAATTTTGTCGAGCTGTTTAGCTTTATTAATGTTTTTGTTTTTATCGTACCCTTTGTAATGCGTGTGGGCGTTCAGCATTTTTTGATAACTTTTCCAAAGGTATTCAAGTGTTGCGTGAATAGAGAAGAAGTTACCATGTTGCACACTTCTGCAGCGCCTTAGAATAAAATACTAGGACTTGCTAGCCGTAAATGTTTGAATAGGGCAACACGAGGCCACTATCATTGATATTGTCAGAAACTAAGAAGCCGAGCTCTGTCGCTGTATATTAAACTTACTCTTGACTTCCTGAGGCACGTCTAGTTTGGACTTCACATCATACAAAAAGGCGTCTCTTTGGACAATTGATGAAATATCTACAGTCTTCTTTCGACCAC